AGTTATTTTTTTTTTCAAATATTACACTTTCAAAAAAAAAAAACGGAGGTCCAATTTTAAAATGACAACTTTACCCAAATGATATACGTATGTAATATATCTATAATATATCTGACTATTGATATATATGTATGTCATATACATTCGATATACTATTGATATGAAGTGTCTCGTATATGAGTGTCTAATATACTAATGATATGAGTATCTGATATACTACTAATATAAGTGAAAATTTGTGCTGTATTTGAAAATTTTAGAAAACAGGTGATATATTTTGAAATACATAAAACATTTGTGCTACCCACTGCAATTCCTTACTTTTATGGTGTAAATTCGTAAATTTGTTTTATTATTTATAATTTGTGTAATTGTAAACAATGTAGTATTATGGATAGGAAAAAGTCATATTTTCTACCTTCTCAATTCCCTTTATTTATGGAATTTGAAAGGGAAAGATATTGGCCTTAGGATTTTCGATTAAGATTGGCCCTAGGTTTTTGATCTATAAATAGAAGGAAAATACTTAATTGTACGCTACAAAACTCTACTCTTTGCTACACTTCACATGAAAACTTCAATTCTGACTTAAGCATTGAAGGGTGTATGGCTAACATCACACAGATGCGTAATCTTTGTATTTTGCACATCTGTCGAATCCCTTTTTATTCTTGGAGATTGGTGTAAATTTGTTAAATTCCGATTGGACCAATTTCTACATCAACAATTGGCACCGCCAATAGAAAATGATAGAAACAATGCTCAAATGTAGTTTTCAAGGGACAAAAGTGAAAGAAACAGTGCTCGAGCAGGAGTACTCAAACAACAAAATTAGCGGTGAAGCGACAAAAACAACAGAAGCGGTGATGACATGCTTATATGATTCGACATGAACCATGGTATAAAAAGAAACAAGAAGAAAAATATGTGCCATGAAATAGAGACTGAAACTTTGGTGAATAATATTCACCAAACAAAAAGTGTTTTTACCAAACTCACTTTCTCTCTCTTCATTTAATAAAAAAAAAAAAAGAAAAGGAGCCAAAAGAAAAATTCTTGGTGACATCATTTCTTCCCCTAAAGAAACCCTAGTTAACTTTCCTTTCCCTACCCCAAGCAGCCGCTGCACCGAGCTTCTTCCTCTCTAGAGACATCCAATAATGGTCGGCGACCTTTTTCCTCCACAAACAGTGACACGACCCAGTTCAAATGTGAACGACAACGACCCTTGGATCAAACCACGACTAGCAGCACGTCTTTGAGCAATGTGATCCACGCACGAAGAACCAACGCCAGTGACAACACGCAGTGGTGTGTTTCTGGTAGTAGGCCCATGCATGACTTGTAGTGGTGCAACACAAACCTAGATCTAAAGTTAGGTTATTCGCAACGACCTTTCCTCGGGCATGTGCATGAGCGACTCGAATGGTGGCGAAGGGAACGACCTTTCCTTGGACGATAGCAGGCCGAAGCCCCTATGGCAGCACGTTATTGGCAAAATCAAGTAGCAACCTGCAATCCAACACCTAAACCTCTCTTCTGCATCCTCAAAATATTACCACCAATCAACCATGAAAATTCTCTAACTTTTTCCTCTCTCGTTGTCGCAGTTTCCTTTGATATTATTAACATTTTCACATTCAACCCAATTGTTGCTATCAACAATGACCTAACCATGGTCACAATGATCAACTACTACTGCAATTCGCCTAAGCCCTCGTTTCATTAAATGCCTCATCAAATGTTAAGTTTCATGCTCTTATCTTTCTCAAATGTAGCATCTTTTCATGTATATGTTGTGTAAAAAATTTAAGGAGAGTAATGTAAAATAAATTGGTAGTTGGCTCTACTGCTAGATATTGCTTCATGGAGAAATTGAGGTAAAAAAAAATAAAATAAAAATCTCACAGATAATTTTTCTTTTCAACCATGGTTTATGAAAAAAGAAAAATAGAGACATATTATGATTGTTTTGTATGGGTATTATTGTCTATTGAAAATGAGGGAAAGAAAGGAGAAGTTTTTTCTCCTTATTTTGCTATTTTATCTAAATTTTTTAACTATCAACTTTGATGACAATTTTGTCATTCAAATATAAATTTCTCTCTCATCCCTATTCTCTATCTTGAAATGCTCCTTCTTTTTCATCAACATTTTACTCCAACTAACACATTCTCTCCGCTGTATATTTTTTGTATTAATGTTCTCCCAAATTAAATTCTAATGAGTTATTGGATCATAAAAAGAATGAGTTAATTATTGAGTAACACTAAACGATTAATTATTTTTATTATTTAATAATGCCAAAAGTGAGAATACATGAATTTTGTCTTTATTTCTATAAATTAATTCAAAAAATTTAAAGTTATTTTTAACTATTTTTATTATTTAATAATGCGAAGAGTTATAATATATAATTTTCTTTGTTGGTACCAATAAATTTTAAAAGTCAAAGTGAGCTTAGCTCATGTTGTACTAAAACAAAAAAAAATTATTTAAAAAAAATTATGCCTTATTTTTAATTATAATTAAATAAAGAAATTTAACTCTATTACCTACAAATAACTTGTCTCACTCTTTCTCTCAACTTTATCCTCACCAAATAAAACAATTTTAGAAATTTAATTTTTTTATTAATTTAGTTTTTAACTATTTAATTAATTTTTTATGTTTTTTAAAATTTAAAATAAAACTATGAAATCCAAGTGCATCGCATGTGTTTCTTACTGATCTATATAAAAGTCGCTATTAGGAGAAACTTTTATGTCATTTTTGTCGTTTTATTTCATTAGGAAAAACTTTTGACGTCACTATTACTTTGCTGGCCATTTTGTCTTTCAATAATACATAATTTCTCTAAATTTTCTCTCTTCCACCAGCCTTTTAAATTTTCTCTATTGATGCAAATCCAATAACCGATCTAACGGAGCAATTACAAGAAGCAAAGTAAAGAAGATTGAAAAGGCTTTCACACTACATGTACTTAAGTTAGAATTAAGTTTATTTTTTTGGATTAAGATAAATTAAATTTTTGAAGTTTGGAGAGAAAATTTTATTGAAATCTGAATTCAAAGTTTTGGAAATTAAATTTATCCCTTTTAGATTTTATTCTCGGATTTTAAAAATTAAGTTAATATCTTAAATAAATTTCTCGAACCATTTTAAAATGAGTTTTCTTTTTGAAAAGAATAATGAAAATCCCCCCTTTACTTTAGCCTATTTTTGGATTATTTTTATTTGAAAAAAAAAAGAAAGGAAAACAAATAAAAACTCTAGCCTCCATCTTCTCCTTCTTCCCCAACACTCCCCAATCGCCCCTCACCCCTCCACCTTGTTTTTCCGGCAGCCGGCACTCCTCCAGCAGCAACCGAACGACAACATGAAGCTCCAGATCTGCGACGGGATCCTTCGATCTACAACAACTCACGAGCCCGAGCG